CGGGAGGCGGAGTGTGCAGTAAGCCGAGATCACGCCACTGCACTCCAGCCTGGGTGAGAGAGTGAGACTCTGTCTCAAAAAAAAAGGATAAAAGCATAAATCAAACAGGAAAGATGAATAAATCTGACTACATAAATAACATCTGTTAATAAAAAGATACTTTTATTTTTGTAGAGACAAGGTCTTGCTATGTTGCCTAGGCTTATTTCAAAGTCCTGGACTCAAGTAATCCTCCTGCTTTGGCCCCTCAAAGTGCTGGGATTACAGGCGTGAGCCCACGTACCCAGCCCAAGACAAGCTTTCTTGGAGAACATCAACAGTAGACTAGACGAAGTAGAAAAAAATAATTTGTAAACTTGAAGGCAGGTCATTTGAAAATACCCAGAGGATAAAAAAGAAAAAAGATTAAAAAGAAATGAAGAAAGCCTATGGGATATGTGGGACACCATCAAGAGAGCGAACATTAACAAAGGATTATAAAAACGAAAGGAGCAAGAAAGAGAAAGGAACAAAAAGATAAAGAACTAAAGATTCCGCCTCAAGAAAGGAGGAAATTCTGTCATATGCTACAACATGGACAAACATTGACATCCTGCTAAGTGAAATAAGACAACCAGAGAAGGACAAATACTACTCAATACGCTACTTACAAGATGTCTCTAAACAGTTAAACTCAGAAACAGAAAGTAAAATGGTAGTTGCCAGGGACTGACTGGCGGGGGAAATAGGGAGTGCTGTTCAAAGGACACAGAGGTTCAGTTATGCAATATGAAAAACTCTAGAGATCTGCCTCACCACACTGTTCTTGCATTTAACAATAGCAGATTATACACTTAAAAATGTGTTAAGAAAGGCCAGGCCCGGTGGCTCATGCCTGTAATCTCGGCATTAATAGGAGTGTGAACTACTATTTTTCTTTCTTATTTTACGTTCCGGGGTACGTGTAAAGGATGTGCAGGTTTGTTACACAGGTAAACGTGTGCCACGGTGGTTTGCTGCACGGATCAACCCATTCCCTAGGTATTAAGCTTCAGTGTTCATAGATGCAATGAAATTCAACCTTACTGAATCTGTAGAACCTCTATTTCTCACATCAACAGATACTAAAAGTAAAACCACTCATGTGGAGGTCTTCAAAAACTCATTCGCCCCGTCGCCCAAGCTTATTGCCGTAGGCTGCTTCAATTGCTATGTGTTCAGCAACCATACCAGTACATAGGAAAGGCTAAGTATAGTACTTGCATTCAATTAATAGATGTTCCACCACATGCTCCTATTTCTCTGTTATGGCTTTTCATTATATTCTAAATCACTCTTTCTCTAAGCAACTGCCAAACCTGTGCTTTGTGTTTTCTTATACTGTTCATATCGCAGAACAGAATTTAAAGTTATAAAGGTAAATTAACAATCAAAGTCAAATATATTTTGTACCCAGCAGAGCTTTGTAAACGCTATTTCAGTGAAAAGTTGAAGTTTTTAACAAATGTAAAGTACGATTACTAGAAGTGTGATTCCTGGTTAAGTGTGGCATTACCAGTCTGTGATTGAGCTCAGGAAAATTGTTCACTGTGTGCCAAGGTTCCTACAACTGCTTTTCAATCATCCTTTCAGAAATGAACTCAACAAATAATTTTCATTATAAAATACACTATCAAAAGCAGAGCTATAGTTATAGTAAACTGTTGGCTGTTTAAAGGTAATTTAGTTTACCTCAAAGAATTATTCTCTGCTTTTTGTCTGCCAAGTTCACTTTCGGTATCCATTGCCTTTCTTGCTAGTGATTTCATTTCTTTTTCCACAGTGCTTATGGTTTCCTTCATCAAAGTCATATTTGACATTTGCTCCATACGTTCATCATCAAGCTATACAAGTAGAATGACAAGGTTACTGCCATCACTAAAAACACCTTAGTAATCTTCCTGAAGGGACATATTCCTTCTGCACAAACTGGTTTGTGGCAAGACTGACATGATGAGATTATGAGGTTAGACCTGACTGCTGTAGGTGGTTTTACAGATAAGGTGTTCTGAAGCAGGACCAAGAAGCAGCCACTGCAAAGCTTTTCTATAAAGCTTATCACAATGTATCAGTCTACATTTTTCAATCTGGTTCAATCTGACTATAGTATAAATATGCTATTTGCAAAAGAATTTATTTGTTGCCCAACATCAACAACTTATATAATGTAGAATTATGAAAATAAAAATTATTTTCTCCTGTCTAGTAATTTTTTTTTTTTTGAGATGGAGTCTCGCTCTGTTGCCCAGGTTAGAGTGCAGTGGTGCGATCTCGGCTCACTGCAACCTCCACCTCCCGGGTGCAAGCAATTCTCCTCTCTCAGCCTCCCGAGTAGCTGGGACTACAGGCGCACGCCACCACACCTGGCTAATTTTCGTATTTTTAGTAGAGACAGGGTTTCACCATAGTGGTCAGGCTGGTCTCAAACTCCTGACTTCAGGTGATCCACCGGCCTTGGCCTCCCAAAGTGCAGGGATTACAGGCGTGAGCCACCATGCCCGGCCCCCGTCTCATATTTTTAACTCATTACAATAAAACAGTACAGATGAATTTATAAACATCTTCAATTATATTTGGTAATAGAAAGTTAAATTCCCTTAATTATGTTAATATAGTGACAATATCAATATATATTCATAGCATATCAAATCTGATTAGGAAAAAGGTGATGTTTCACATTTAAACTCAGTTTAAATACACTTTGCTTATCATTTTTATTTTATCAAAATTTTCTCTACCTTATCCCCTCTTTAAGGTAGAATAAACCATTTTCTTTACATCTGGCAATATTATCTTTAACAAAATATGGAGATAAGAAAGTGGATAAGATCCCTGAAAATGAATTCCTAGTGATTTTTTTTGAAGTACACACTTTGCAATCTAACACCAAAAAACACATTTTTAGAAGGAAATAAGCAAGTGAAAAAGTGACAATTTACACTATAAAATACCTTAAGCATTTTAGGACCAAAAAACACATTTTTAGAAGGAAATAAGCAAGTGAAAAAGTGACAATTTACACTATAAAATACCTTAAGCACTTTAGGACTACAAACACTGTCTTAGAAAAACAAAAGAGCTTCTCTGAACACAGAAAAAGGGAAAAGGGGAAAGTCAGTGAGTGTTGATAGCCAAGAGATTTTTTTTTTACATTATGAACTGTACACTCCAGCTCCTCTATCCTTTGTTCCAGGTGAGCCTTCTCATTAAATGCTGTCTCCTGAGCAATCTGATTAAAAAGCAAAAACAAAATAAAGTGATTCCAATATCCCTGCATTTGTGTTTCACCTATGTTCACGTAAATAAAATCCTTTCCAACCTTTAGCCTCTCTCTTAAACTATCTCGTTCTGTGGTCATTCTTCGTAAATCAGTGAAGGCTACATCTCTTTCAGTCTCCACTCGCCGGAGAATAGCATGTGCCGTTGTTGATTTAGGACTCTTACAGCTTTTCATCATTTCTCGTCGAAGTCGGGCAATTTCTTCCTGTGCCTATTATTTAAATCATAGAATTTGGTTTAACAAGCTTTATGTTCTATGTTTTGAACACATAAACATAAAAAATCTTATATCTAGCCAGTTAAAATGCAAAACTACATCAACATGCATACAGCAGGGTAATGATATCACTTTTATTTTAAAATGAGTTTATACAAATAAATGAAAATGGATATATTTAAATAGAAGTTCATGTTATAACATCTTTGTCAAAAGTCGAAAATAAAATTAATTTGGAGGAAGTCATTGCAACAGAAAACGTTTTGCTAAGAAATATATTTGGTATACTCCATTTATTCATTTTGTAGTGTAAATTTCAATTCAGCATAATCTAGGCAGACTACCGGTTTAATGAATATTATCATAGTATTTCAGTCTTCCTAAATATAAATGCACATGCCATTCCTATGTCCTGCTACTTTTGCGCTGACAGAAAGGCCTACCAATCCTTACTGATAACCCAGCATAGTCTCTGCACATCTGTTCAACCATCCTTGGGTCCCGAATCTATTCCAAACCTGCAGATTATTTAATATCATAGTTTGCTGCACACACGTCTCTTTATCTTCCTTCCTCTTGATTTTGATCACTGTCTATTCAGTCTCTAAGTCCCAAAGGAAAATATATAATTTCCCAATTTCCATAGCTAACCCTTCACCAGAACCCCAAACCTCATCTCCTAAAGTGTCTTCTAAGATCTCCCTGACTCAATCATAATTATTTCTTCTCCTCTTGAATAGTGCCCTCTCCACTGGCACTTTCTCCCCTGCCTTCAGTCATGAACGGTGCTCCCTTATCTTGAAAACCTGTCACTTGATCCTGCTGACCAATTTACCATCCTATGTCTCTTCTTCCTTCGACACATTAAAAAAAAAAAAAGTCCTATGGTCTATAACTATTGCCAATGGTTCCTTACCATCCACTCTACCATCCCAGAATAACCTGGCTCCCACCCTCCCACCCTCTGTGGAACTTCAACTAAAGACCTAACCAAATATAATGGTCTTCTCTCAGTTCCTATTCTCCTTGATATTTCAGTGATGTCTGTTGCTGTTTACAACATGCTGCTTCTTGAGATTCCTTCCTCCCTTATAACATTGTTCCTTCCTAGCTCTCTGCATCTTTGTCTCTTTCAAAGGTTCCCTTCTGCCTCTTGAATATTATATCTTAACTTTTCTGCTCCTCTACGTACAGTTTTCTCATTCAGAGACTTCATCCACTCTGAAGGTGCGAAGCTCACTGCTAAGCAGATGACTTCCAAAGCTAACTATTTAACTCTTGCCTCTCTCTACTCCAGTCCCACAGTTCTTACAGCCTGATGGCAATTACGACCTGAATGTGCTACCATCATCTTACTCTGTCTAAAAACAAACTCACATCTTTTTCCTCAAACCACCAATGACTCTCCTATTTCTTATTTTATTACCATATTGCTGAGTCATTCAAGACAGAATTTTAGTCACTGTCATGTAACCCTCCTTCTTCCTAAGATCAAATCATGTCAAATCGTCCTTCACAAGGTCTTTTGCATCTGTCCCTACATTTATTTCCACTGAAACACCCTTGCTTAGTCCCTTAATGCCTTATATGTGCACTACTGTAACAGCTTTCTACGGAGGAGTCCATGGTCTCTCCCTCCTCTAATTCTCTCAAAGGAGAAATTGTTACATAAGAAGATGATATAGAAAGATGATGTGAGAAATAAAAATTTGCCATAAAGTTAAAGTTTTTAAATTGTAAAATGCTACTTTGGTCATATTTTGCCTGCCTTTAAAAAAAAAAAAAAAAAAAGATTGTTGCTTATAAAGCAAAATATAAACCCCATATAAGGCCCATTGAATAGTCTGTACCATTTAGTCCAGAAGTCAGCAAACTATATATAACTCACAGGCCACATCTAGCCTGCCTCCTGTAAGTCTGTAAGTGGAGAAATAATTTTTGCATTTTTAAATGACTAGGGAAAACATCAAAAGAATATTTTAAAACAAGTAAAAATAATGTGAAATTCAAATTTCAGTATCTATAAAGTTTTACTGTAATACAGTCAAAGTTATTCATTTATGTATTGTCCAAAGCTGCTTTCACCCTACAACTACAGGGCTGATTAGTTACAACACAGACCACATGGCTTGCAAAGCAGAAGGCATTTTTTGTCTGGGCCTTACAGAAAAAGTATAATGATTCCTGCTCTAGTGTAATCTACCTTTCAAGTCTTAGCTCTCTCCCTTCTCCACTGACACACATCCTCTATTCTAGTCTTAAACCAATTTATTTATCCGCTGATTTTCCTACCTTTATCCTTTGCCTCATACCATTCCTTTAGTCTGGAATGTTCCTTCTAGTTCCTTTCAGCGTAATAGAAACTCCATTCATTTTTCAGGGCTCATACTTCATAACTTTTAACAAAGATTTCCTTGATCACTATACCTAAAAATGCCCAATTCTTTTGTTTCTTATAATATCTTCTAGACCACTTATAGTAATAAAAGTCAATAAATACAGTATACTTTATCTCCCTAACTAAACTGTAAATTTATAGGAGAACATGGTCAGCATCTTATCATTTTTCTATCCCTTAGAGTAGTGAGCCTAGAACCCTACATATAATAGCTATAATTTGTTAAAAAATTGTGATACTTTTAAAAGAAGTTATATGGGTGATTTATAGGATTTAATACTTGTTGGGTAAATAAGTTATCTGATTAATAAAAGCTACGCAATTTTAAGCTAGAAAGTAGAGGTAAACTACATACTTCTTTTATTCTCTAAAATTAAGCAAATTACATAAAAGTTCCCAAAGTGATGCAGTAAGGTGTGGCGAGCTCAAGGTGAAAAGGTCAGGATTTGATCTTTTTACCTTGAACTCACAACACCTTATCTTTTAACGGTTTCTCCATATCTTATTTCAAAAATAAGACTACTTTTATGCATGCATATGATCTTTTTTTGGCTATGGGGATAACATATGTGTGTACTCACATACCTACTATATTGGAAATGTATTACATTTCATTAAGAATATCTTAAAAACATATGTAATCCCCAAATGTTAGATTAATTTGATTTGCAGGTTTAAGCAGTCTCATAGATCTCAAAGAAGAACTACATACCTCTAGAATTCAATGTTATTGCTTACATAACTTGTTTTTTTATAAGTTTACCTGTTCATAAAGAAGGAAGGTCTTGTCTCTCTCGGATGTAAGAACCTTGACATTACCCTGAATTTCTGCCAAATGGCGCTCATATTTTTCCAGCATGCATTTAAGTTCTTCACGATCTCTTGTTGTTGTCTTCAAAAGTTCTACATCACAGTTTGCACCCTGTAATTATGTAAGGAATCTGAAATTCTTCTTTGATATATAGTACTGATAGAAAGGTGCTACTGATAGCAGTGACCAATTTCTATTTAAGAAAACAAGACTATATAACAAAAGGAAATTATAAAAAATAAGTTTAAAAACCACGTCTTTTTAGAACAGCTTTGTTCCAAATTATTCCACATTTGTCTGATTACCTCCCAAGCACTACTTATGCTGAGGATAAAGAACCAATATCAGTAGTCTACTGCGCCATCAAAGAGACCTCTGTCTCTCAACCCCTTTGATATAGCAATTCACACTAAGTCAAAACAAATCATTTCCAAATTAGGTAAAACAAAGAATAAAAGCCAGTGTCTGGGTGACAGACTTCAAAATATTTACAAGTTTATAAAACCTACCCGGGCAGTTGGTGATGGGCGTCTTGGACTTTTAGACCTACTTCTCATCATCTTTCTCAAATGTTGAGCTTCACTCTTATAGTAATCTCTGTCTGCTTCCAAAGTCTTGACAAAGGAATCAAGTCTAGAAGGAGATTTATTTTGTGCTTTCTCAGTATCTAAAATTATCTTGCCAAGGAAGAAAAAATTAGGCCATTATTTCAAGCTAAACAATAGCATCATTTTCTAAGTGAAATTGAAAACAAACAGGATCCTTAAAAACATTTAATTTGGTATTTTTTAAATAGAACATTTAAAAAATCATATATCAATAATTTTTAAAAAGCAGTTAGATAGTTTTCTTTTCCAGCATTTCTGGGTATGCTACGTTTTAACTGAAAGTATCCTTAAAGGCCGGGCGCGGTGGCTCACACCTGTAATCCCAGCACTTTGGGAGGCCGAGGCGGGCGGATCACGAGGTCAGGAGATCGAGACCATCCTGGCTAACACGGTGAAACCCCGTCTCTACTAAAAATGCAAAAAATTAGCCGGGCGAGGCGGCGGGCGCCTGTAGTCCCAGCTACTCGGGAGGCTGAGGCAGGAGAATGGCGTGAACCCGGGAGGCGGAGCCTGCAGTGAGCCGAGATCTCGCCACTGCACTCCAGCCTGGGCGACTAAGCGAGACTCTGTCTCAAAAAAAAAAAAAAAAGAAAGTATCCTTAAATTTGCTCAATAATTTTGGAGAAAAAATGGTAAAGAAATTTTAGAAAGGCCAGATATGTCCACAGACCTAGCACACATCCTAGAAATGGCATGGATTTACTTTAGAAAAACATACGCTACTAGGCTGGGCATGGTGGCTCACGCCTGTAATCCCAGCACCTTGGGAGGCCAAGGTGGGCGGATCACGAGGTCAGGAGTTTGAGACCAGCTTGGCCAACATGGTGAAACCCCATCTCTACTAAAAATACAAAAAAATTAGCCTGGCATGGTGGCACGCACCTGTGGTCCCAGCTACTTGGGAGGCTGAGGCAGGAGAATCGCTAGAACCCAGGAGGCAGAGGTTGTGGTGCCATTGCACTCCAGCCTGGGCAACAAAGCAAGACTCCATCTCAAAAAAAAAAAAAAAAGGAAAGAAAGAAAAACATATGCTACTATTAAAGCATCTGTTAGAGCATCAAAGTTTTGTCCAATATTGTTCAATGAGTGAATACGTTAACTGAATGCTGGATATTCCATACTTGTAAGCATTCCCATGAATTTGCATTCACTTCAATATATTTAGAAACACTTCTTTGACAACATTTATTTAACAATACTTTATTGGGAGACAATTATAAATATACTTTCAGATAGATGGTTTTAAATATTTTAAATAACATTAAAATGTTTTAAACAGAGCAGTTTTCATTTCACATTGTTAGACAAATAAAACGTTGTTTGGAATTATGTAACAAAATTTATGGCTTAAAAATATTTATTATTAAGGGGGATAAAAGTTAATGTGTAAACAAACACACTTTATATTTTGAGAATTAGTCACCATTTTAAATCAATTAACAGATAAGGACACTAATAAAACCAACCAAAAGTTGTTCCTTGCCTCTAGGAAAGAAAGTAGTAGTGATGAAAGCAGCAAAAAAAAAAGTCACTATTACAGATAGGGGTTCCCCTGTGTCCCTAGCAGCTGGTGCAGATTTTAGAAAACAAACATATTTTATTCCTCACGAAACGCATGAGAGCCAAAGATATGACTTTATATAGTTTAGTGACCAAATAAAAACGATTCCTTAACACATATTTATGAAAAATGTACTTACAGATTTAAGCCTTTTTATTGTATCTTCCAATACTACAATATTATTTTGCTGGCAAATGAGTTCGATCTGAAGAAAAAGTAAAACAAAACAAAACAAAAAAAAAATTCTATTAAAGATGTTTAAACTAATTGGAAAAACAACATCAAAAAAAGGAAGTCACTTAAAAAGAAACATGAAGACAGTGAATATTTTAAAGAAGAAATAACCTCTGTTTAGCGACCTTCGATGATAAAAGATTATTTACCCAGATGAAATAACAATTCCCTTCAATTACCTAACGTTTTGTATAAAATGTTAATTGATTATATTTTACCAAATTATTCCCCATAAACTGGAACAAAATGTTAGTCTTAATTATAATTCTGAAGATAATAGGAAAGCAATAAAAAAATGACTAGAATAAAACAAGTTGACCCAAATTATCCCATTCAGAAAAGATTGCTTTCTCTTCTGAACTCAATTGCTTGGTTCAATTCAACACACAAAATACTTTTTGTATCAATTTATGACAGTGAACATACCCAGTCTTATAAGATAGGAACCCATAGTCATGTATTTAGCATATGACTACACTGTATGTTCCTACAAGACAGTGACTAAGTTTTTATGCAAAGTAGTAAAGTTCTTTGCTAATAGCATATTTGCTTAATGTATTTTGCAATTCATCAACCTTTCCCTCATTATTCTAAAGTGCATCCTGATCTTGCCTACTACATTTTAAATTTGAATTCTCTGGAATTACCGTGCTTCATTTGTTCTTTAGACCAACGTTTCCTTCTACGATTTTTCTGGCAGTCATATTTTAAGTTTATGAAATATTAAGGGGTGCTATTATTTGAAACATTTTTCTCACAAGTAAAATACTTAGAAATAGAACATAATTACATACAGTTTGGATAACCTTATGTATAGTCTTGAATAGACAATTTTCAATGTTTTAGTGTCTACTACTAAGTAGACACTAAAATGATACAGGTCTACTTTGAATGTGTTCAGATTTCCACATTAAGTATAAAAATTCACTCTGCAAGAGTATCTAGTATGACACATTCTCATAAAAAATAAATTTACACGCAGATATCCTACAAATAAACATAACCAATAATACATAAGCTGAAGATTATGTCTAGGTATAACAAGGTATGATTATGGTAGATGTTATTTTCTTCATTTACTTTTCTATATGGACTAAAATTTTGTATAATAAACATGCATTAATTTTACAATGATTAAAAAAAATGTTGATTCCACTCTGACAAACAAAATAACTGGCCCAAATGAAAAACTGCTAACCCAATGTTTTTACTTACTTAACAGTTAATGAATGCTTACTACATGCCTGCCATTGTGTTATGTGCTGGGTAAAGTAATGAGTAAAAAAGGCAAAAATCTCTGCCCTCATAGAGCATACATTCTAGCCAAAAAAAGAAAAACAAAAGATAATAGTCAAAATATATGTTAGTGATTGCATCTCTCAAAAAATAATACAAGGAACACTCACGTTCTAGGCACTTGAGTTAAGTAAACAAGACAGATAAAAATTTCTGCCTTTGTGGATCCTACATTCCAGCTAGAATAGACAATAATAAACCTAAAAAATAAATTATATAATATACTAGAAAAAGAAGAGCAGAGTTAAGGATACTGGGAACATTTATGGAGGAACAGGTTGGAATTTTAAATAGGGTGGTCAGGAAGTCCTCATTGAAAGGTGACCTTTCACCAAAAACTTCAGAGGAAAGGAAGTCAAACATGTGAAAATCTGGGCAAAAAACACTGCAGGCAAAAATTACAGCTCTAACAAAGATCCTAAGGCAAAAGAATGTCTGGTTGGTTCTAAGTGTGGAGACCGGCATGGTTGGAGCCTAGTGAGGGAAGGGGAAAGGAACAGCCAAGTGCTACAGGGAAAAATAAAGCGAGGGAGAAAGACAGGGAGTGTGTGCAGGGAATTGGGGGGTGGGTATTTCAGAGCCTGCTGTGTGGAAGACATTGTGTAAAGTCTTTGTCCCCCAGAAACAAAGGGTGGGGTGGGGGATAAACAAAGACTTTACACAATGTCTTCCACACAGCAGGATCTGAAATACTTTTTAGTGAATCACATACAGAAGTAACAATGATAAGGACTATCAGAGATCCAGTCCAATAATATAGACCCTATGTCAATTAAAAATATAAATTGTAGGAAGAAATAATGGTAAAATTGTAATTCTGCTTCACATTTCAAAGTATCATGTTCAATTATCTGGTAAACACCGTGTTAACACAAGAATGATAAACAACTCAAGATGAGAGAATAAACGAAGGCATATAGTTGAGGTGGTTTTAATGTATGTCCACAAATTCTAATACTCCTTCCCTCAATAGCTGGAGCTGAATTTCCCTCCCCTAGAGTGTGGGTTATCCTTAGTGACTCACTTTTAAAGATGAGAATATGGAGGAAGTGATGACATATAACTTTTGAGACTGGGTCATACTAAGCCCTACAGATCTCTTATTATCTCTTGGATTGTTGGCTAAGGGAAAGGGGAAGGTGGAGAGAGAACAAGATTCCACAAAGAATACATGAAGCAACCCTAGAGAGAGGTGCACCTGGCAAGGAACAGGCCTCCTGCCAATAGCCAAAAGTCATTTGAGTAAGCCATCTTAGAAGTAAATCCTCCAGTAGCAGTCAAGCCATGACTGTGGCAGTCATCTTTTTTTTGTTGTTTTCTGAGATCGAGTCTTGCTTTGTCATCCAGGCTGGAGCGCAGTGGTGTGATTTCGGCTTATTGCAACCACTGCCTCCCGGGATAAAGCAATTCTCTGGCCTCAGCCTCCTGGGCAGCTGGGATTACAGGCGCCCACCACCATGCCCGGCTAGTTTTCTGTATTTTTAGTACAGATGGGGTTTCATCATATTGGCCAGGCTGGTCTTGAACTCGACCTGAAGTGATCTACCTGCCTTGGCCTCCCAAAGTGCTGGAATTACAGGTGTAAACCACCAGCCCTGGCCATCATCTTGATGACAATTTCCTGAGAAACAGTGAACCAGAACAACCCAGCTAAGCCACTCTTGAACTCCCAACCCAAGAACCTGTGAGGTATCAGTATTTGTTGTTTGAAGGCATTAAGGTTTCAAAGTAATTTATTACATAGCAATAGCCAATAGTTAATATGAAAATATTTTAATGAAGTAAATCATGGAAGAAGTTACTGTTGACCTTTAAAAATAAGACTAAAAGTAAATAGTTCCTAGTGAATACATTTAATATTATCTCAATTCCAGACAAACTAACAGTAGCTTTAGCCTCAGACTCTACCTCCACATACCCACATATAATCTCAAACACTAGAAACCCAAACATTCTTTCTCAGCAATCAAATTAGAAATCTCGTTTCAAGTGCTACCCCACAAATTAGGCAAGGAATCTCTCCCCCATAAATATAAACCTAAAATGCACATCTAATATCTTAGAATGATGACAACACACACTGGAGTTCATATCCCCAGTGTTGGTTTTGCATCTTTCTAATCCCCATTCTATTTGGGGACATTCACTTACTGAGGTTGGTGATTTCCTCATTTCAGGGCATTCTATCAACCCAAAGGCCTATTTCCATTTTGTTCTCTCTTTATTAAGTTCCTGATGTTTTCCCTGTGTCAGCAACGGTATCTCTACTCTAAGACTGCTGCTTACCTCTTTTTCACCCAACAGCTTTCCAATCCTCAAATACACCCAACATTCCACATTATTTAGGGATATCTATTTCCTAGAAATACTGTTCGCCAAGCCAGGCAAAATTTCACCTGTAAAGCTAATACTTAGTTTTAGGTAAATCTTAGCTCTTATATTTTACATGTTTTCCATTCCAAAAATTCTTCCTTTTGATAGCAGAGAATTCACCCTGACATAGTACTTACTCTCTCTAGAACATAAACCCTAACAACCCTTTAAAAATGATGACTTCTAAACAGGGCATTCTCATTGTTGGAATTCAATTTGGTTTCCCGCAGTCTGGGAAGGAGTACAGTTAATTTTCAATTTGAAGACAAAAACAAGGAAGACATAATTACACTCTTCACTTTTGACAATTTTTTTTTTTTTTTT